CATTGATAAAAGTAATGTTAAAAAAACTAAAGTATAACACAAAGATTGACTCTAAAAACTTAGCTGTAACATTAGTTACCAAACAAATGCATACAGAACATTCATACACAGTTATAGTTCCCCCCAAAAAGTACAGAAATTAAGAATTCCTGGATCGGGGGAAAATACACACATGTTTTCTGCCAACTGTGAATAACAAGAGACCAGTGTCTAACATCCAACAATCTAAAAAAGAAATCTCACCCAATCCGAAGTTTTCGTGGAAAAATAAGGTCCTTGTAGTCCCATAGAGAAAAGGAGAAAGACATTAGTCCAATATAAAACATGAATATACACCAGTCAAAGCTAACCGTTCCGCTTCAAAACCTGTGATCTTTTACTTAACTTGTACAGCCTGGAGAATCAAACACTTCCACCAGAATACAGACGCTCCTGCCATCTTGCGTGGCGAGAGGGACTATAGGACTGCAGACCCGGAGGTCTTTAAGGACAGTATCAAAACTCAGTACACAACGCGGATAAGAGCTTTAACCTCGGTTGCTTAAACAATGTTAAGCACTTAGTCCTGAACCTGGGAGCTATCTGACCACTTTAGGTTCTAGTACAGGCAGAAACTGAAGGGTTGCATATCTGTATGTTTTTGGGGTCTGTCTTCCAAGGCATTGCTTACGTGTTGGAAGCTGCAATTGGAAACGTAGGAGGTTACTATTAATTCAATAAAAACACTTGTTAGAAAAATTGAAAAGCTTTACTCATTCACATGAGTAGGAAAGTGACCAATAACTGCTTTGGAAAGTGTAGCCAGCCATTTCACTTCTGTTAAAATGACACTGTAATTGTGCTACAGTAGCTGCTTTACTGTTATGTACTGCTCTTTTTAAATATGTTGTGGTTAGTGTATTGGAGAATTTAATGTAAAACCAGGGAATTATTTTAATAGAATAGATTGGACCAGCTTTCAGGCCAAGATTTCTTATGTGATATTCAGTGACAGGTTTCTCAATAAGTGATCACAATGCTCTTGAGTGATGATAAGGAGGGATTTTATATGGCTTGTGTTCTGTAATTTTCTTGATTCGAGTTTTAAATGTTTTAAGATCAATCCATTTGCTGGAGGTTAAGGAATGCAGCAGACAATTGATTATACATAACACGAGAAATTGTTTATCTCCTCCACATTTTGGCTGATGGGTTTTTCGTTGTTCAAAGGAGTTTCAGGTATTTCAGTAAACTGTAACACAGCTGGCTGTTCTCTCTCCAGTGACATAGTTTCTCTGTGCAGCTTACATTTGCATAATTTAAGACCACTGCTCTTAAAAGGGAAGTGGAAATTATTTCCGTTAGAGTCTATTAAAATTCTTTTAAAGGTTAATTTATTCCATGCTCTCTGCTTCCCCTCTTTTGTTCTTTTTGTTTTTAATTTTCTTCCTATTTGTTGGTTTTATAAGAGTCCAGTGGCCTCTGAATCTGACCCTGGTTTCCATCAGCAGTGACACTAGTTAGAAGGATGATGGCTTGACAGCACTGAATTGACTAGCTGTGTACTGCCTGCTCACATGTAAGGACTATGGAGTTGCCAACACTTAACGCTTTTTAGTCAACATCTGTTGAGACTTAATACTTAAGTTTTTTTTGTCTTTGGCTTCAGTGTGCTTTTGGAGTTTTATCACACTGCCCTGCATGCATTTTCAGGGTTGAAGCTTTTGAAGACCAAAGACCAGCCTGCTATGAACGTGAAGTACCGACGTATTATTGCAATGTGGAATAACGAGGGGTGCCCACTCTGTGAAGAGCCATGGAAGAGAATGTTGGGTTGCCTTGATTCCCAATGAAAGATATGTTCCAATACAAGTGGGCTTTAAAAACAACCATTACACCAAATAAAGGATAAATAGGAAAAAAAGATATCGTTGTAACCAAGGGTTTCCAAATAGGGTTTAATTAATGTGTGTAAATACAGGGGGTTTGTACAGTGCTGTGTTGTATTATGCTTGACTATGGTCTTATCACTTTGAAAACTCATAAAGAGTATCTGAAAGATTCTTGACAGGTTTTCACTCAGTCCTAGCAGAAGAGAAAAATTGGTGCCCTTCTGTAAGGTACAAGATTTCTTTCAGATCTAAATGATGGTGGTATTTTAATATACTTGTGTCAAATGCCTCATCAATTCCACAGTATTATCGATGGCATGTCACCCTGCTTGCTTTTACTGAAGAATGACTTTGTCAGTTGGTTGGTGAGTTGTTGATCTAATCAAGAGTTAACATAGAAATTGTTTCTGCTAAAAGTAATTGGACAGACAACACTGGTCTTCGGTTAATTCAAAATTTCTTTAAGTACAGAAGGCATTTATTTCAAATGTTAATGTTCCCTTGGGATTCAGTCAGTTTGTTTTTATCATTTTACTGTACCACAATACACGAAAAACATTCTTCTTGGCACTTAACCTCTGGCCACTGGGACAAAGAACAATTAAACAATATGGACTAGGAGAAAACAAACAGGTCTGAGTTACTTTTGTTTTTCAATTACATTGCTATCAATTTAGTATTAACAAATAATGAAGATAATTCACATAAATACACCAGATTATTTAAAAGAAGTCAAATCATTCACCTTGTGTAAAAAGACATGCATTACAATATGTATAGTTTTATATTGGTCAAAAGTCTATATTGGTCAAAAGTACTGTAGGTATTTTTTGACACAAGTGATCACTAGGTGAATTACTGTACATACTGTAATAGAACTTTTGCTGCATTATCTAAGTCTTTCAGTACTACAATTAATTTTGTGCTGGTTTAATATCACTTTATTGGCCCTATACAGTTTCTTGCATTAGGAATTTGTCTTTTCGCATACCCCAGCTTGCTCTCAATGAGACACACAGACAGGGAGAGAAGCTGGGGGTCAGAGCACAGGGTCAGGCATTGTACAGCACCCCTGGAGCAGTTGGGGTTAAGGACTCCTCTGCAGGCCGTGGGATTTGAACTGGCAACCTTCCAGTCACAGGAGCAGATCCTGAGCCACACAGCCACCACTCTGCCGGTTTGCACTGACTAGTAGGGCTACAGGAGAGACTGTTCCTCTTGTGTTAATTAAGAGTGGTCCTGCTCTGAGCAGCTACAGCAGTTCGAGATCCCTTCAAGGGCCAGTTCCTAGTCTCTTGCGGCTCCCGCACAGTGTTCGTGACTCATTAATTTATATTTTATCCAGCTTGGTAAACAGGCTTTACAGACACAAGCTTGGAAACACGTGAACTGCGATCTGTGCTGTTGAACTCAAAGTCCTGTTGGTATGAAAAAGTATCTCCGAGTTTACTCACAATTAAAATGGAAAGGCAAGTACACACTACTGTATATGAGGGATGGTTTCTGAAATGTCAGTGCCTTGATAGGCATAATAGCAATGTGTTCGGCTCATTATGGTGTAAATGTTGCTGTCTGGCCCCAGAGATCGAGAGCCCTTTGAGAGACAATATTAAATTAGTCCATTAACAGAGTAATCCATGTGTGTGGTGATAACTGCACTATGTGTATCACTGAGGACTGGAAGGTGGCATTATTATAATAAGTTTTCATTGGAGAAAAGAGAGAGCTGCTTCTTCATCATTTTATTACTGCCTGTCTTCATCCCTCCATGGCTGGCCTCATCCAGATTCCTCAAGAAACCTCCCTGAGCCAGTGTTTTTCTAGCCATCCTCAATTATACTGTCTTATCAGGCAGGTGGTCAGACAGTAAGCTTAAGCAGCACATAATGGTCAAAGGCTTGTTTTTAGATACAAAGGTGCAAAGGTGGTTTCCCCACCTTGGAAAGAAGTATGAAGGAGAACCTACCCAAACTACTTGTGAAGCTTCTCTTAAATTTGGACAGCTGGTTTTGAACTGCTGATATTAATCAACCCAAATATACAAAAGGTGTTTTTATGTTCCATTTCAAGGCTGCTTATTTCTATTACGTTGTGAGAAATCTACATATTAAACACACACGCACAATCATGTATACAGTATGTGTTCAACATTAGCCTGTATCACTATTCTGAATAAATTTTTGCTAAGATTCTATCGCAAACTCCTTTATCATTGTTATATATTTTATTGTACTTTATGTACAGAAAGGCAGATGGTATAAACACTTAACATATAAAGTAGCTGATTTCTCAGTGTCTCGGGGCTTGTTAATCAGTTTCAGTAGGCACAGGCAGACTCTCCTGCTGGAAACACAGAGATAATAGTGGCTGTATTGAGCAGATCAGCCATAAACTGCTACTTATTGGCCATATGCTTGTTGTGTTCACTGGATACTGCTCATGCATTATTTAGCAATAGTGAATAGGATATTACAGTACTTTTTGAATCCATGAAGCCATTCTTATTCCCTATGCATACATAGTATCTTGGAAAATATATTTTGTTACGTGTTAAAGCAATGTGGTAGTTTTTACCACATTCAAAATCTTGCTTCCAGAACATGCCAATGTTGGAATCAGCCTCAATGTAATTGTTACTTGTTGCGTGGCTCCTTGACTTGAGAGTTTTTTCTATTCAAGCATTTCTTAGCACTGTCTGTGCAATATAGGAATTTTATTGAACAATTGCATATTTTTATTAACTGAAATTAATATTTTATGAAAGGCTTCCATCACATTAAAAACGGCAGCACAGATTACCTCCCTAAAAGATACAAATCAGTGCAAAGCCAATGGAGCAAATATTTCTGAAAAGCAGCTGACATTTTCTTTCAAGTATTGAATATGCATGTACTGTAGATGATTAGACACCCAGCAACGCCGCTGTCTGCACTTGCATCAGTGTGTCCCATACAATTGTGACCTCAGCTTTTCAGAGAAGCCGCATGGTCAGTTGTTACAGCAGGGCTGTTTAACATGTAGTTTAGACTGAAATAATATTCAATCCTTAACACAAAAGTTACTTTTACCTCAGACACAAAATAAAACAAAGATGGTTTCCTGGTTTCAATAAAAAGGCAAAGATGGATATTTAAAGTTAAGGGATAATATCAAAGTCACATTTATTGGTTACATTCTTAATTCTAGGTTACACTGCAAAAATGTTTGCATGGACCAAACCAGAAGGATCATTCCATTTCTCAAATGAAGTCAAACATTTTTGAAAAAACTATGGTCTGCTTATTTTTTAATTCATGTTTTATATTTAATTTTTAAAATAAGTACAAGTGTAACCAAGTACATACAATCTCTGTATTTGGCTCAATACAATCATTGCAGTCAACACAATAACAAATAAATCAGGTACAAGTATGTGCAGAAGTCAATTAGATTAACAACAGTGATCTGTGTGAAGATGTTTCTTCTCTGACAAGACATAAAATGTGTTATGATTGTTAATAAAGAGTGAATATTGTTTCCAAATGCATCACTAAAAAAGAAAATCATTAAAGAAAGTTTTGTTTATTCAGCTTGGCTATGTCCCAGCAGAGCCCATGGTAGGTGTGGTGTGGGTGATTTGTAAAGTTGCTGTCATGTTAAGAAATGCATACTTAAAAACAGTATTGTAAAATGTTTTTTTTATCATGTCTTACATGATCAATATAATTAATTGAAGATTTGCTTTCACTACTTTGCTGCGTTGTTGGGAGGTCCCTAATTTATTTTTGCTGCTAGCTTCTTTCCAATTTAGGAGGAATAAAAAGATGGTTTGTATACAGGACTGAGATGACCCATACTGTATTTGAACAAGAGACAAGACGTCAGCCTTTCTGTCCACCCCATGAAGCTTATTAGCAGATGTTTCACAGCACAAGGTTTAGCTCAGCCTCGGTGCCAGTGTATCTGGACTCGCGTAGCGTGAGCCTGTGATGGTGACATCACTCTCTGGAGCTTGGCATTGATAACCCATTTGGTCTTAGGAAATTTTGGCTCCGCAGATTTGTTCTCCTGCCTGTGTGCTGAATGGTTTTGTGTGGCACAGAAGACATGAGACACATCTCTGGCCAAACTGATCCTGGCTAGGGATGAACTGCACATGGGGCACTAACTCTCTGGCTGCCTCTGCTCTGCTGAGATGACAACTTTCGAGCATTAAAGATTGTTCTGACATTCTGAATTGTTAAAAAAACTTCAAGGAGCAATCTCCACTTGTACTCAGATCAGCAGTTTGATAGGATGGAAATGGAAGGAATCTTCAAAGGTTTAGATGTCTGCCTTCTTCAAGCTCATTGAAGCTTGTCAGTAACCCCAAACAGGTGATTAGATTTGTGCAGTGCCTGTCTGGTTCGTCTCACACCAGTTAAATTTTCCACTGCGAGAAACAAAGGTCTCATTAAAGAGTTGTGACTTTGCCATAGAATGTAACCGTACCAACATGAGCAAATATCTATGGGAAATACAGGGCTTTATTTGAAATCTTACATTTTAAAATGGAAACATGTCCACAGACATTGCAATAACTGTAAATTAAAAGTTAGTGGTTGGTACTAAATATTTAGGGTAGTTTAACAAAAATGTCTTGCACACTGTTCAGGAGAAAGCAGAATTGAAAAGAGGACATTACAGTTTGTCACTTCACATACACCGTTTTAGTGTATATATAAATCTGTAGATGACTACATTGTATTTACAATGTTTTATTTTCCTTCAGAGAATTCAGTCTATTAATTTGTGCTTGCTTCTGATACAAGCTTATTTGCATCCTGTAATGTAAAGGATTCTATTAGCAAGTAGAAGCAAGTGTACAATGTGATGTTTTGATGAATCCATGACTTAATCCTACTGTATATGACCTATTGTACTACATCCGTATTGTACATCTGCTGGATACAGCACTTTTACATTTAAGAAGTGCACACACTTGAAAACAGAACTAATTTCATTGAAGTCAATTTACATTTAAAGACTTTCTGTCCGTTACATTTTTCCCAGAAGTCATGAAAACTTACTTTTACTATCTCTTATCTCTTTTCCTTAAAGACTTCTGTTTCCCACACAGGAGGCAGGAGGTGTGTTTTTCATGGTCTCATCTGCCACTAGAAATGCAAATGTGCCCTGGCTATAGAACAGGCTTTGCAGATAAAATGACTACTTAAAGGGGTGTCCATAAAATTTGTTTTGCCCCTCTGTTTCACCACCTGTTTACACTCCTGGTCCTTGGCCAAGATGATGTGAAAAGCTTCAAGGATACAGTTACTGTAGATGCGGCAGCTTTCAAGGAACAGAGAGAAATAATGTCTAGATTCTAGAAATTAAAAAGGCGTTGACAGAGTTCTGAACCATTGATTTTGCCTCAGGTGCAAAACCATTCCTTTGAGTATTCTGTATAAGAAATTGATTTGAGGTCTACCAGATGTACATTTGAAGAGCTTTTAATATAAAGTAAACAGGTAACCTCTGCATGCTTTTAATTTTTGATTTCTTAACGGCCCATCCATATTAGGTCTCTGCGGCCTTGATAAATTGAATTCATCTCCCATAAAAATTCAGTAGCAGAAACAGACACCAACTTCCTTTGCCTATAGCAGGGGTAGTGGGCTTCTGTCCTGGAGCAACAAATTTTTTTTCCAGGATGTGTTCCATCTCAGGCCTTAACGGCTTATTTGAGCTAGTTCAAAATCATAAATGTGTGATTTCCAGGTCCCAATCACACTTGAAATGAGAGGTACCTCTAAGATCTTCAGGAACCCACTACTCGAGGACTGGGAGGTCCTTAGTCATTAAAATAAAGACAAAACCACAGTGAAGAACTTTCTCTTGTTCTTTTCTAACCTCTGAGGCCTATTTGTCAGGCCCACATTTGCTTTGACTTCTAGCGGGTTGCCTGAAATGAGATATGCTGGGTTATATTATTCCAGGTGCTCCCAGGTCCTGCCCTGTGCATCCCTGTAGTTGTCGCAGCTCCTTGCCAGACACAGGGAGCTATAAGTGATTGTTCTTTGAAAGGTAAGCTATGAGGGCCACGGCCACTCCAACATAAATGCCAGTTCCGATGGTGATGGACAGCACAGCCAAGAACAGGGCTCGTCTGGAGCTGGAGCTTGCCTGGTGAAAGTCTCCTTTGGCCACTGCCTTGTTCGTCTGCAAGAGAGGTAAACAGAGGTCAGGTCCCAGCCGCTGCTGCGTGGTTTAGTTTCATGTCACTATAACAACGGTTCTTGTTCGAATTCTGAGACTATTTTCACTCAGGGGGTTGAAGCGGTCTCTGATGCAGTGACCTCGTTAATAATGCAAATTTGGTTGGTTGTGGAGAGGGAACCTTCTGCCTTTGAAGTTCAGAGATACCAATTCAAAGTGCAAATATGTAAGACGGACATCTTCCCTAACTAATTTATAATTAGTTTCGCCGTTAGATACTTGTTCTCTTGCAGTCAGCATGGTTTTCTGTGCTATGGCAAGGTTTATTTTTTAGAATCAGTGGCACAATGGAGCTGCTGATGCCTACTACAACTTTCTTTCCCTAAAACCCTTGAATCAGCATCAGTTACTTTTCAGCAAAGATCTTCAGTTGATGTTGATCATTGCCGTTTTACTCCTGTATTTATACTTTACAATTTAGCATTTCCTGCCAACCTAATCAAGCAAAGAAAAGCCAATTCTAGAGCTCCCGTCTACACTTAATCAGTGGATAATTTAACCCCATGGGTTGTGTAGAGGAAGTAAAAGTGCTATATTGAAATTTGTGAAGCTTATTTTGCAAGAATATTTCATGGTAAGTGTTAGCAGACAAATTAAAAAGAAATTCTTTGCTGCTGCCATGTGCACAATTTATGACCTTGAAATGTTTGTAGTCTTTTCATACTAGCTTCCAGTGTCCTGTTGAACAAGTGAAGGCAATCGGCACTTTGAAAAGAAGAGAGCACATAGCAATGCAAGGCTGGTTTTGTAGATAAAGCTTCTTATTTCAATGATTTAAATGTAAAGAGGCTACACAATCATGAACATGCATGTGATACTGTCTTCAAAACATACAATAAGCAATTTGCTTAAATTATACCAAATGGTTTCAAATAATGCACTGGGCACTGACGTGGAAACAAATCTGTAATTCATATAAAATTTAGTTACATATTCCAACAATTCCAAAACGACCCCCCTAATTCTTAATATGCATCATTAACCATTTAATCTGTTTTGAATATAATATTTAAGCTTGTGAGTTAATGCCTATAATATGTGTACTGTAGTGTGATGTGTGAGTCTGTGAGTTCTGCATGTGTAAAGATGTGTGTGTACATGAAAGGCACTGCGATTTGCGCAACAGTGATGGTGTGGTTCACAGAAAGGGAGAGGAAACATGTCTTGGGACTGTGGTTGGAGGGAATGTCAAGAGGAATTTCCTGGCACGATCACATGATCAGGTCTCACCCAGTTGCGATTGCTACAGTAGGTCCCAGCATGACAAGGTGACGGGAAGCACCCCTGTGACCTAACAGCTGGATCAGCGAGGTTCTGAATTCTGAAAGGCAGCCATGCAGATGAGGAATCGCATCTGCAATGCAACAAGTACGGTTGCCAAAACATCTGGACAGCATGGAAGGTGCCCGAGTCACATTAGAGTCATGAGGCACAACTGCAACAGTGAAGTCATAACTCAAAAGGCTGCATTATGGAGGTTTTCACATTATTATTATTAATTGACTTGATGTGAAGAAATGCTTGGATAGAGCTCCAGAGTTACCCAGCAAAGGCCCTCGCTCAGATCGTTGAGCACTGCAGTCCTCTTCCACCCGAGGCTGAATTGAAGCGCTGAGTACTGCTGGGCTCTCAATGTGAAAAAAGGAACGATCACACAAAAGTCTTCTGTAAAATTTTCAATCACTGTTCTGGAGGAAAGTGTTTGCGTTTCTGGTGCTTGTTCGAGGGCCGGATTGGGAAATGGAGATAACCTCCACATTGTGCACAGCGGAGAAAGGGGAAATCTTTGGTGACAACATCATGCTGAATGTGGGCCAAAGCCTTTGACTTGGAAAAAAATATAAAGGTGTATATATACAGTGGTTTAAGACAAGAAAAGGAAATACCAGATCACGTTAATAATCCAGTGAGAAGATCAGGCAGCAGTCATCTTGGCTAATCTCATCACAATGGGGGACAAGACAATGCCTTTTTTTGGGGAGCTGGAAATAAAATAACTTCAGGTACCCGAGAAACCCCTCTAGGCCAGCGTTATGTACTGTATGTCTTTACGGTGATTTCAGTTTTTAGTGGATGCCAACAGGAAGAGTTAGAACAGTAGTAACTGCTGAGAAGCAACAAACGTATCTCCAGTACCTCTTTTCCAGCTGTGGTTTGTATTCAGGCGGCACATACAGTACCTTGAGCAGCACAAGAGACTGCATTGCAGAGCACAGCACTGAGCCCTGTCCTGGGGAAGATGATTGCACTGCCTTGCAGAGCGACCTGATTGCATTTCTTGTCATTTTATTTTGCTAAAACCGCTGTAGCTTAGTTAGCACGTGACTCCTAGCACTTTCCCGACTGAAATATTCATATACACAGCTGACACAGGTCCCATGGGATTCGGAGCAGTGCGGAGGCCAAATAAAATCTAGATTACTGGAGGGAGAGTGGTGGCACGATTAAAATAAAAATGAAAACTAGGTGTCTTATACAGTCCTGAGAAAATAATGCTTCTAAATACAATTTCCATAATTGAGAATGTGGAGCAATCAGGAGGAAAATAAACGTAATTATGCCTTCTGGACTAATACAGTGCAGATGTGCCAGTGCTGTAATCCTGGTGTAAACAAAGCAAGGTCATGCACACGGGGGCAATTGGCATGTCATGAGTGTCCTGTTGAAACATACACAGCATACAAGACTGCTTTCAGGAAGGTTACAAGCGCATTTCACCATTGCTGGGACATTCCTAATCTAATCCTTTAATTTCCAGGCTGACAGTCAATATCGGTAGCTTCAGTTCCTGATGATTAGTCCTTTGAGGGACGTCCGGGGTGTGATGAAACCCCCAAGCAAATTCAATTTGCACAAAAGGATGTACAGAAGAGGGTGGCATGGTGGCACAGTGGTCAGCATTTCTGCCTCTCCATGCTGGGGCCCTGGGTTCAATGTGGAGTTTGTATGTACCCCTCGTGTGTGTGTGGGCTTCCTCTGGGTATTCCCATCCTTCCACAATCCAAAAATATACAGGTAGATTAAGTGGCTTCTGGGAAAACAGGCCCTGGTGTGAGTGTGCTGGACTGGTGTCCTGGCCAGGGTATATCTTGCCATGCGGCTGTTGCTTGGCAGTATAGTTTATGGCTCCAGATGACCCTGTACTGGATAAAGCAGTAAGAAAATGGATCGAGGGATGTATGATACAATGCTATATGAAGAACAGTTATTACTGAAGTTCTGTCACATTGCTGTGACAGTGAAGTGATATGTATACTGTACTTAGGGCCACTGCTCCACTCCTTTAAAACACTCCTTTCTCCTTTAGAACATTTAACTCTTCCTAGTCTTAAAGTTGAGATTAAAGGGAAAAAAATAATCTACTGAGTCAAAGAAGTATGGTTGTTCCTTCTAATACCTGTACTTGTTCTTTTGAACAAAGCAATATGGAATTTTACATAAAGCATAGAACCCATATGAACGATCATTTTCCACACTGAAAATGGCTATACTGTATAAGCCCATTGGTGACAGTAATACTTTCTTTTTATTCTTCCATCTTGTTTTCAAACCCTTATATAGAGATCTTGTGGTGAGATTGTTCACCTTGCTATCTATTCCAGCAAAGTGAAAACTCATGCAATGCTTCATTTCAGTTTATTTCCATGACTTAGAAGCTTTTTTTGCTGGAACAAATAAAGCAAGAAATAGCAAACTAACTGGAAGATGGTGATAAGATATATGTCGCATCCTTTAAAGAAACGACTCTTCCTGGAACATTTTCTGATTCCATGTCTTATGTCTTTATCTGTTATCTTACTGTACATGCTTAAACACAACAACAAAGAATTGTGGAATATTACAGTAAAAAAAGACTTCTTAGCACTTTTTGTTTGATGATTTCCCCTACTTTAACTGGGTGTCTTCGTATTTAACCTAAATGGCTAATATTCCTGTGAATATAGGGAAAAATCATGAAAGCATTAATCTTTTTAGGAAAAAGAAGATTTCAGCAATACAAATAAGTCTGAATCCTACAGTACATTAAAGGCGAGAGACCAAGCTCAAAAACTTAAATTTCAGTAATCATTTTTGTACTTTTAGCAGATCGCTGCCTTTTCTTTGAGATATAGAAGAAAAATGTTTCCAGTTTAATCTACTCTGTGCAAATGGAAAACTAATTCCAAAATGAATGTGAGACATCGTATTTTACTGGGTGGTTTATCTATTTCAAGTTTAAGTACATAAAATAGAGAGTATTAGTGCTATGAAATTTTGCTGCATGATTGCATTCTTGGTTGTTATTCATGTCTACCTTTTCTTAAGAGACCTATGGGTTAACCAGATTAACCATGAATAAATACGAATATAATATTGTATATTTTTTAACGATTTCCAATGATGCAATAAAAATTGAAATAATAGACTAGCATAGCATAATGATGCCTTATTTAAACATGATTAATCTTTTCTGGACGATGTTACTTCATACAGGGGATACAAGTAACTCCCTTTGCTCACACAGATCAATACCAGAGCTGATGTTGTACTTTACTGCCATTGGCGACATTCCTTTACTGAAGGGACAATCTTGAGTTGAGCTGATAATAAACACTGCATTTGATTATTTTACATGTCAAATATTACATAGAATATACAGTATGCAAAAGACAAATAATTGTGGTATCGTGCTGATATAAAATATTTAGTTTGTCTAGCAAGTAACTCTGTTCTCCTCACTGATACTTAAATAACTTGGCAATCTCTGCAAAGTTCTTGTGTAATTTCAGAATTCACCTGAAAGTCTGGTTCGCCTCAAGGTAAATCTGACACACTTAGCGTATAGTCTATAGGGTAAAGCTTATGAGCTCCTGTGAACACAAAACATTATGCTGTCCAACCCACACCCTGGTTGTGAAAAACAAAGCTGCTAGGAAGTGTTTTAGACACAGATGCAGTATACA